TGAGAGCGAGATAAGCCCAGCACAAACCCATCTTCCTTCAAAAGCTAAAAGGGACAATATAATTAGAATAGGACACAAAGGAAAACTTGGGAGACCACGGGAACAATCTGGGTGTCCAAACATAGGTGCCTAGTGGCATGCAGACAGTGTAGGATTTCCCACCTGAATCACAGATGCTGCCCCAGTAGGAAGTTTCCAGGTGCTACACAGTGGGGGACCAGCCCTGTGAATCGACTTTTTATATCTCAGATGGCTAAAGCAGCATTAGGTACCTATTTGTAGGCATTCAATTCATCCGCTATATGCCCCTTCCTCAAAAATCTGTGCTACAAAGGTCACAGTTCAGAAGCTAACAGAAGCTAGTTAAGGCTTATAGCAGTCACTTTCCTTTTCTCACAAGTCAAAAGTTTTTTGTTTAAATATTAGACAAATTATGCAAGTTCATGAGAAAGATGACATACTTCTGTGTAGGTTAGAAATGTTGCTAATTATACCTTGGGAAAGAAAAGCTAATACTGAACCAATAAATGAAGCATTTGTGTCCCATTTATAGAAGTTTTAAATAACTGAAAAACATTATTTACCTTTCTTCTCCTCCTCCCTTTTGTTCTCGTTTTTCCCCTTTTTTTTGTGAACAAGATAAAAAGAACTGGGAAGATTTTTACTTTGTGTGAAAATGAAAACTAACACCCCTGACTATTTGAAATTTCTTATCTAAAAATAGCAGTTACTATGGAGTGGCAGTGAGAGGCTTGATTTCTGCAGGAAATTTAGTATTTTCTAACTGGATATACTTAACAGTAGGCACTCATCAGAGGGATATTTTATACAAAACCAATAATTTGAACATTCTTACAAGGGCTTTTTTCTTAAAGAGAAACTACATACAGTGTTTAATCTGCAAACTGAATTTAATTTTTCTGCAGAACTTCTGCATATAAGAAATAGTGGAAAACAACTAGCTTATAATTAAAAAAACAAAAACAAAAAAACGCTACTAAAATAGTTGTCACTAACTAAAGACATGGAATAAATTATTTTTTTAATTAGGAAAGTAACACATTATATTTTAATATATCCACTTATGCCTGAAAATTTCTTTCCTTCCATCTCATCTAATAACACAAATCAGCCTTCTCTTTCATAAGAGAGAATGTTCAAACAGGAACTGCAAACATCTGAAATCAACAGGTAAAAAAGCTATTAACAGAAACAAAAATAACACACCAAACATTTTAACAACTGGAATAAAATTATACAAAAGAAAAATTACCAAAGATCCAGACAAAAAAACCCAATAAAATGCATAAAATCCAACATGAACAAAAGCTCAACATTTAGAGATCCAAGGCTAATTTGAAAGTGTAGATGCACTGTACAGAACTAATTCTTAAACAGGAAGAAGGGGAAATTTGTAATCCTTAATTAACTTTATTCTTTCACTATTTAAGCAAAACGAACTACAATCGTTTCTTGACTGGCAGTTTGTTCATGTATTAATACATCAGCACTTCAGGAAAACTGCTGTGGCTGGGAGGTTCTCCTGTCCTGTGATGAACTGCCTGGGCTGCACTCCTAAAATCTGAAGCCAGTCACAGAATTAGTGAAGGACCAATGACCAAAATTACCTTTCCTTCAACAAATCCACAATCAAAGGCACAAGGGGAAAAAAAAACAGGTCTTTTAGATTATTACCTTCTTACCCAATGATCAGCACAGAAAGCCTCGCCAGCAGTCATACACAAGAAGCAGTAGAAGCACCTCCCCTGAGCTTGTAACTAACTCTTCTAAACCCTCTGTAGTCTCAAAAATGACCCAATTCCAGAGTCCTTTAAAAACAGTGCATTCCAATCCTCCACTGAGACTGGGCAAGAGACTATTAATAGAAGAGTAAGAGCATACGCTAAGATACTTTCCCACCAGAAACAAACAGCTGCACAGGAGAGCAAGTATGTCTTAAACCCCAACAGCTTCTTGTGTCTAAGATTCTTCCCCTGCCTAAAACCCACAGGCCCAGGAGGGCACGCACCACGTCAATCGGAGTTCAAAACTAAACACAAACCTCAGGTCTCAGCTCATAACTAAGCAACTGCATACAAATCTGCTTTGCAATTTTCCAAATAAAATGGCATGAGCTCTCCCTGAACTAGCGATATCCAGCACACCTTTCACAGGAAGAGAAAGCTGTCATCTTCTAGAGGATTGTTAAAATAGCCAGTATAATCTTGATCTGATCAAGAAAATTCAGTGCTACTCCTTCTTTAAGTGAACTCTATCTTCCACTGTACAGAATTATTTGCTACCTAAGTACCAAAAGGACAGTGAAGTAGAATTAAACAGGTGAAGTTAAGAATTTGCAGCTTTGAACTGCCTTTTATTTAAGATACCTATCCAGTACATTGAAAAATTCATTCCTCTAGTCAGCAAATCTGAGGGCTTATTATCAATTCAATTTGCACTTTCATTACAATTAACATAAAATATTTTCTACACTTCTAGGTCACTGGATGCTGGCCTTGCATGTATTTCAAGATCCAGAAAAAAATATTTGAACAATCTGAAAAAAGATTTTGCATTACTCTGAAGAACTCACTACTTAAGAAATATTTCTTAAGAGGGGAGCTGAGAGAGAAATGCTGACAAGAAGATGTAGCACCATGCAGTTGTGCCAGTTAGGATCGTTTATTGACAAAACAGTTGAACATTCATTGGTCAGTCCTGACTGACTAATGGCTATTTTAACAATCCTCTAGAAGATGACAACGATGACATTGACGTGATCCTGTGATGTGACTGTATATTCTTATGACTTTCACATGTTGCTATGAGCCATCTGTGGCAAGTTATAGCACTACATCTTCATCAAAAACTAGTCTTTTTTGTTTCAACATAATTGTTTATATGCCCTTGACTCTGGAAAGAATGTTCATTGTTGAGCCTTGAGACACACAAACCAGAACTGAGCTGTCTTCAAATTAGCATTTTCCACTTCATTAATGGATATTTGGGTAGTGAAGAACTAAGGATGGCCAGTCTCATCTCATGCCCTTTCAAAATACGCAGTTAAATGACAATGAGTTTACTCCCTTGTATTCAAAGGTTTGGGTACATAACAACCAACTAAGATTGTCTCCTTATGGCAACCAACTCTGCCTTCTTTGCAACATGCAATTTCCATATACGTTGCAGTTGCACTTACTGAATTAGTGCTGGCTAGCTTGCTGAGACCTATAGCTACAATACGCTGAACCTTATGCCTACTGTGTGATCAAAAGAAAGTACATTATATTTAAATACAAGGAAGTATTTCACTGGAGGCTATAGCTGTCCTGCACTATGTCCAAAAATATAAACAATTACATACTATGCACAAGACGCCACAGGAAGGAAGAATTAGGGTTGCACATATGATCTGTAAAGCCTCACCATTTCATTGCATAGCAGAGGTTAATATCACTGCTACCAAGATTTTGGAAGGACACAGTATGCAACCAAATAGACCTTAAGTCTTATCAGTAGGTCTATTTCTCAGAGGCTGTTTCTTATAGTAGTTGGTTATCATATAGATTTACAAGTTAAAAGTTACTGTCTCTAGAAATAGCTCCACGTAGTCCTACAGGGCTATCATCACAAGGCCTCTGATGAAGACTTGAAAAAAAAAAATAATACCAGCAAACATCTCTTGTTCAAGAAAACCTAGCAGGCAGAACTGACAACAGACTCCAGGAATTACAAATTCCTGTCTTTGATAACTTCAAGTACTGCTCTATCCTGCTGGATGTATTACTGGAGAAATAACAGTCATGGTTTGAACTTCTTGAACTTGCAGCTCGTAATGGTACAAAGGCAAAACATTTCAGATCCTATCAAGGCTTTGGATATGTACAGCTTTTTAGCATTATTTAAATTAATGCAATTTGGTAAATGCAGCAGTTGAAATATGACAAGTCTTTCTACCAAGTTCCAGCTCACTCTTCCCTTCTGGTCTCATTAAACCATTAAAAAGTAAAAAGTTGATCTCTGGTGTCTTCTGTTGCCATATACACTCATCAAAGAGAGCTGCTTACAGGAAGGCTAAATGTTTACTCAGTTACGTAGCTCAAAGTGTATCTGAGAGATTTCCATACCTGCCCATGTTCTCAGGCACAATTCCCTGCTCGTGTCCATGATTATCACATCTCAGTACGTGCTAGCGCACATTCTACCCCACACCGAGATGAACTACACTTGTACCTTCTTCTTTACAAATGCTAAAGTGTGTTTTATCTGACTACCACTTTCCCCAGGTCATAAGGAACAATGAAAGCAGTCTCAGACTTCTACAGAAAGACCCCCCAGATCAAAGAAACCACAGAGACAGAAATCAGTCCCTTGTGGTATCAGGATGCATAGCAGAAAAGATGTGCAGCATGTTATTTCCCAACATTAAGCCACTCATTAGAGTATGGCCTTCTTGGTATTTCACTCTACAGCAGCCAATTTGTAAATTATTTCTCTCAAGTTTCTTGCACTTTCATCTCCTACAAAAATTTTGCTTAGAATGTAATGCAATAATCCAGTTAGTTACCAAAATGTAAAATAAAAATAAAAAAAATCATCTGTAAAAAAAAAAAAAGAAAAACAAAAAGCACTTCCCAGAGATCAAATCACATATTTCCAGTGCATGATGGTAATGACACTTTTTAGCACATCAACGATGGCCATTAGAAAACCAAAAAAAGGTTCAGCACAGGCAGCTATGCAAAAACCCAGCATGCAAAACCTCTGACAAAACTGTCTGCAGAACATTTCTGATGGACCCAAAGTAGAGATCTACATCACAGCCTGCTACTGTCATTTTGCAAATGCATGGCCACGTGACAATATCACACTGGGCACACCAAGATTTTTCCTCTTAGGCTCAGTATTCAGACTTTGCTCATTTCTAAGCATTTGCTTTGAAGGAAAATGCATGCTAGAAAACATCACAGCTCTTTTATGAAAGATAATTCCATACTTACTGGTGCTACTATTTTGCCTGTCTGTCCAACTTGCATGTCATTAGGAACAAAGCCAGCATCAACAGCTGCACGGGAAGCTCCAACTAGTTGAAAGAAAATATTTCCAGTGTTTTCTTTTAAAATATTAGTGAGCCAAATTTATATCACCATAAAAGCACATGGATTTTACTGAAGGGTCCCACACTCTAAGGGCATGTATTTAGAAACTTCCCTCTTAAGAGCTCTTATAGTAATCCCTCTCTATACCACTGGCTGAAACTTCCAAATACTAAGTGCTAATGCACTTCATAAGCAACAGGAAATCCTTACTCCCAGCACCAAAGGGCCAAATATTTAAAACCAAGGATTTTAGTCTGGCATATTTCCATTATTTTCTCTTGTTGCTTTGTCAAAAGAGGATTTTCCCACAAATGCCTTCCCATAATGTTCCTCCAAGTCTGAACAGAACACATGTGCCATCTTGTATTGCTGTGGAACTCAAAAGTCAGGAACAGTAAAGAAAAATATCAAAGTAAACTTGAAAATACCACATTTAGTGAATTTAAAAACAAAGCCATTAATGTAAAACTTCAAATTTATTATTACATGTAAAATCTAAAACTAATATAGCTAAAATGTTAATGCAAACAGTTCCTTCTCCTCCCCCAACCTTTACTTAAAATACTTTGCTGAAACACTGTACATGGCCAGTTTTCTCCTGTTAATACAGAAGATGAGCAAAAAGACAGAGCTGCTCGAACTACAAGGACTGTGAAAGGGATTCTGTAAAGGCGTAGCATATAAGGATGTATGAAGACAATATCAGCTCTTTAAAGTGAGCTAAGGTCTTTTTTTAATTTATACAACTTCATTTTCTGATTGTCAGCTTGTGTACAGGAGATTTGAGAAGGGCAGGGAATATTGCCGTTTAGTATTTTGCTTCATACACGGGCATCTAAATACACAGTTGACCACAAGGACAAGACAAAACTTAATCTATGCCCAAACTAACAGGATTTTAAGAATTTATTTGATAGCCACATGAAAATAAAAGACTTAAGATGAATGTTAATGTGAGCTTTTTAAATATAATAAGGAGAGTTAAAAAAAAGGAGGACAAAAGGTTTACCTGCAGCATGCAACTGATCTGCAAGATCATATAACAACTTAAAATTTTCCCCGCTCTTCAAGCCTCTTCCTTGAAAGTTAAGAACAAAAAAAGATGAAGAAAGAGGAACATAATATGCTTTAGCACTTTTTTATAGCCTACATAAACTTTCTGTATGAGTATTTGCCTTTGCAAAGGCACAAATATACACTTGCATAAGGTATTTTTGGATCTATTACTAAATAGTATTTAACATATGGAGATTTAGCTTTTGTCTTTGTGATTAATATTATTATTATTTCATATGTATAAACCAACAGCACTCTGTCTAGTTTACCTCCTACACACAGCACCATCAAGATCATTCTTTGAAATCAGGAAAACAGGATTTTTTTCCTAATTTGTGCTCCCTCTACTGGCTTTAGAAACAAAACTCTGTAGCGGGATAGCTAAGGAATAGTTTTTTTAGCTGTAGGCATACAGTAAAATCACAGTCCATCACTTTATACCTGAAGAGCAGAATACAAACATAATGATTTTAAAAATCATTAAATCTATTACATAATAATGTTTGGATTGCCTGTAATGGTTAGCAATAATTTTAAACATGACGGATTTGGATCTAAAACCACTTCATATCACTATAAATTTAAAGGGATTCACCAAATATGACCATGTTCTTAAAAAAGGCTACTAGAACACGTTAAACTCCTGTTTTACCTCTTTGCTAAACATACATGTTGGGTGCATTCCCACTGAGCCCCATGCTATATTTCAGAATTACATCATTTTTTTTTTAATGTATCAAACTACAGTGTTCTGCTACAGATATTACTTAATCAAGATGCACCATTACTTAAATGCAACGTGACGTAATTTTAATATTATCTACTCACCACCCGATACAACCACTTTTGCACTAGTGAGCTCTGGCCGATCACTTTTAGTCAACTTCTGCTCAATCCATTCAGATAGACCAACAGGCGGTGGAGGGGTTACTGCATTCATCAGATGAAGAAAAACAGCCGCAAGAAAAAGGATAAAGCATGTATTTTCAACTTCTTAAATCTGAGCTAAAACTTAATGCAAAAATTCATTCTACAACTAATTCTACCGCAAGCTTTCCTACTACCAGGAATTGCTCTATTGCTCCAAGTTACAAGTCTCTCTCATTAGTTGTGTCTAAATAACCTATAGTACAAACTGCACTAAAACGAAGGTCTGTTGTATAATACATCAATATTAACTCAGCATCGTAAGTGTGGTTCTGATTAAGACAGGCAAACAAACCAATTAAGTAGTGCAATGACAGTGCAAAATGCTATTCTTAAGTATCAAGTATCCATAGACGTTAAGAAACACAGGATGGTTCAGGGACAGGTGTTAAGCCATCCAGAAAAATATGAGGACTGGGACGCACATACATGCAGGCAGCACGTTACTAACAATTGCCTCTGCTGGATTTACAGCACAGTAAAAAAAGCCCAGCCTGAAAAACAGTAGAGGTGATGAAACACTGGAAGAGGTTGCCCAGAGTGGTTGTGAAGCCTCCACCTGTGGAGATACTCAAAGCCCAATTGGACACAGCCCCAGGCAATCTGCTCCAGGGGGGCTGGACTAGAGGATCTCAAGAAGTCCCTTCCAACCTCAACCATTTTGTGATTCTGTGACTGGACTTCTCTACTATCAAAGCTACCCTGGGTTCATTAATGTAGTAATTTAAACTGATTTAGTTAAAACTGATCTAAAACAACAACTGGATGTTCTCAAATCAACTTAAACTGCTACTGATTTAGCTAGACACTGTAGTGGCCTATCTCAATTGAAATATGACCAATTAAACCAAAACTGCAGAGAGCAAGCCACTATTATTTTTGCTCAATCTTGCCCTGAAAACCAATCTGGCTATTTGAACAGTTGTAACTTTAAATAAGGAAAAGTTTCAAGATTGCTGTGGCAGAGCTTTAAGCAGCGAGTGAAACAGGCACAGGTTTCAGCACAGATAATCTCCATTTCTGGTCAAAGAAAAGGTAGCAAGTGAGCAAATAATCCGTACCTTCCCTTACCAGACATCATTAAAAAGTGCAAGTATCCATATAACAAGCGTAAAGCTACGATTATGACTATCAGTTTGTTTTGCCAAATACTTCTGCAAAACATCACTGTCCGATGAGCAAAACTAAATCTATTACAGGAAACAGCAAAATAGCAGAACAGATACTCACACTTTTCTAAACTGGCACTACCACCACTTGTTGGTGCAGCCTCAAAAGAGGTTCCCCGTACAGTAAATACTTTAATCGCCTCATCACATTGCACAGTGCAAATAATATTTCCTAAAAAAAAAACCAAAAACAAAACCCAAGAGCCACATTATATTTTTAAAGATATCAGGCATACTATGCTTTTTAAAAAACAAATAAAATTAACACCAGAAACATATTAGCAATTCTACTGGAATGGGTAACATTCAGAAAGTTACTTCACAAAATTGCACTTCTAGATTACTAAAACTTGAAAGCTAGGCACTTAATAAACGTAGATTACAAATATTTTAATTTACTTCTTAGCTCCATGTTTCTGAAGTATGATAACAAATTATCTATTTAAAGGACACAGAGCATTCAAATAATCTCTTATGAGTGAGCTTTTAAATTCTGGAAGGGGTTGAAAAAACCCCCAACTTTGAAAGTGTCATTCTTAAACATAAAGAGCATCTACAATTCAAAGTAGATCTTTTATCCTGTTGCATGAATTCACCAAAACAGTAGACAGTTGGCCTGCCCCAAGTATCTGTGGGACTGTGTTTCTCTCAATAATATATAATATAAGGTATTTACTTCACAGTGGAGACTGCAGGGAACACTAAAAGAGAAAAATGCTGCAACATCAGCTATTCATAAACAAAGTGATCTTGAAACAGTGAATTACTGGGAAGCAACTTAAAAGTGCAACACAAAACCATGTACAGGTAATGTAACTCAAAATGCAATACCGTGTTGGTACACATGGTACAATCTCGTACAGTAAAATTAAGAAACACAACCTAATGCTTTCATATCTAAATTAAAAACACAGTGTCAGACAAGCATTAGAGGAACAAGACTGAAAAAAGAATTACAAATTAACTCAACTAAATATTATAAATAATTAGTTCAATGTCTTCATAATTAGGAAAAATAACCCTGTGGTATCTTAAATCAGAACTACTGCTAGTCATATTAAATAAAGCTGGACAATTAACTTAATGTCTTATGTTTTATGAAATCTGATCAGAAATGCATTAAGAAAGAAAAACAGTATGTATCAAGGAGATTACCAAATTCTATTAATTAAAGTGACAGACCTGTTTTCTAACTGATAGTACCAAACTTGTTGGGATTACTTGCTTTCTCACACATGGAGTATCGTGTCCATCCCCAGGTTTCATTTTTATGAACCACAGCAATTCAGATTGTAAAGTGAAAATTCCTATCATATTCTGCAGTTCTAACAACAGGATCATGTAGAAAAGTGTCCTGGTTTTGCTAGGGTAGAGTTA